CTCAACTAATAGTATTTTGGGTGTGGAAGTCCCACCTAGTATCTCCAGTCACAGACAGTATTATCTCACCTTTCCTTTGCAAGCACAGCAAGACCCTGTAATAAGATAGGCACAACTGTCTGATCCAGGTAGGCACGGGTTGGCAAAGACTGTAGATCCACCTTCTGTTTTGATGACTTCTCTGCATTAATCTTCTCATTTTCGACTATCCTCTAGTGATGTGAAAAGAAAAAAAAAAACAAGCATGAATTTCTCAAAGCACAAGATTATTTTGAGAGCAAAACAAAAACTAATGGGAAAAGAACACTAAGAGGAAAGCAAATCGTGACTAGAATGATACCAGACAGCAAACCTCTCCCCCGAAAGAAATGCAAGCCAATCCCTAATGTGGTGACATTTTATTCGTGCTCCAATAAATAAAGCTTGCCTGGAGATCAGAGGAGAATGCCAGCCATTATACGTAAACACAAAAGTCATGCAATGGTAGCACACGCCTTTAATTCTATCACTTGGGAGGCAGGATCTATCTAGATCTATATGAATTCAAGACCATACTGGGAACAGAGCTGAGTGTGGAGGCACATGCCTTAAATTCCAACACAAGTTAACCATGAAGGTCTGGAAGTCTGTACAGACAGTCAGGAAGTCACAGAGCTGGGCAGGAAGAGGAAGTGATGTAGCTGGATAGAAAGAGCAAATCAGAGGGCAGAACAGCAAGGCATATAGGGGGTGGGTGGATAGGAAGTATCTCGTTTTTGGAAGCTGTGGAGTTGGTGAGGTGAGGTTAGCATGTGGCTGTTGCTATTCCTCTGATCTCTCTCTCAGGTTTTCACCCCTATATCTGACTCCGTGTTTTCTATTAAGAAAACCATTTAGAAATTCGTCTACATCCTAAATTCCTTTTTTTTTTTTTTACATTTATTTTATTATTTCATGGGCATGAGTATTTTGCCTACATGGATTTATATAAATCATATGCCCCAGGAGGCCAGAAGGGGGAATCAGATCCCCTGGAACTGGAATTACATACAGTTGTGAGCTGCTATGAAGGTGCGGGATATCCAAGAACCCCAGTCCTCTGCAAAAACAAGGGCTCTTAACACTTGGCAACTCTCCAGCCCCAACCCCTAACTTTGTGGTTTTCCGGGACAGGTTTCTCTGTGTAGTCCCAGTTGTCCTGGAACTTGCTCTGTAGACCATGCTGGCCTCGAACTCAGAGTGAGATAGTTACTTGTAACTCAGGCTGGGTTTGAACTCACTATGTAGCAGAGAATAATCTTGAATTTTCTGATCCTTCTGCTTCTCTCTTCCAAGTGCTGGGACCACAGATACGCATTGCCATACGTAGTTAATGCTGGCACTGAAACCAGGGCTTCATGCATCCTAGCTAAGGGCCCACTGGGTATATATATATATATATATATACCCAGTGGGCCCTTAGCTAGGATGCATGAAGCCCTGGTTTCAGTGCCAGCATTAACTACGTATGGCAATGCGTATCTGTGGTCCCAGCACTTGGAAGAGAGAAGCAGAAGGATCAGAAAATTCAAGATTATTCTCTGCTACATAGTGAGTTCAAACCCAGCCTGAGTTACAAGTAACTATCTCACTCTGAGTTCGAGGCCAGCATGGTCTACAGAGCAAGTTCCAGGACAACTGGGACTACACAGAGAAACCTGTCCCGGAAAACCACAAAGTTAGGGGTTGGGGCTGGAGAGTTGCCAAGTGTTAAGAGCCCTTGTTTTTGCAGAGGACTGGGGTTCTTGGATATCCCGCACCTTCATAGCAGCTCACAACTGTATGTAATTCCAGTTCCAGGGGATCTGATTCCCCCTTCTGGCCTCCTGGGGCATATGATTTATATAAATCCATGTAGGCAAAATACTCATGCCCATGAAATAATAAAATAAATGTAAAAAAAAAAAAAAGGAATTTAGGATGTAGACGAATTTCTAAATGGTTTTCTTAATAGAAAACACGGAGTCAGATATAGGGGTGAAAACCTGAGAGAGAGATCAGAGGAATAGCAACAGCCACATGCTAACCTCACCTCACCAACTCCACAGCTTCCAAAAACGAGATACTTCCTATCCACCCACCCCCTATATGCCTTGCTGTTCTGCCCTCTGATTTGCTCTTTCTATCCAGCTACATCACTTCCTCTTCCTGCCCAGCTCTGTGACTTCCTGACTGTCTGTACAGACTTCCAGACCTTCATGGTTAACTTGTGTTGGAATTTAAGGCATGTGCCTCCACACTCAGCTCTGTTCCCAGTATGGTCTTGAATTCATATAGATCTAGATAGATCCTGCCTCCCAAGTGATAGAATTAAAGGCGTGTGCTACCATTGCATGACTTTTGTGTTTACGTATAATGGCTGGCATTCTCCTCTGATCTCCAGGCAAGCTTTATTTATTGGAGCACGAATAAAATGTCACCACATTAGGGATTGGCTTGCATTTCTTTCGGGGGAGAGGTTTGCTGTCTGGTATCATTCTAGTCACGATTTGCTTTCCTCTTAGTGTTCTTTTCCCATTAGTTTTTGTTTTGCTCTCAAAATAATCTTGTGCTTTGAGAAATTCATGCTTGTTTTTTTTTTTCTTTTCACATCACTAGAGGATAGTCGAAAATGAGAAGATTAATGCAGAGAAGTCATCAAAACAGAAGGTGGATCTACAGTCTTTGCCAACCCGTGCCTACCTGGATCAGACAGTTGTGCCTATCTTATTACAGGGTCTTGCTGTGCTTGCAAAGGAAAGGTGAGATAATACTGTCTGTGACTGGAGATACTAGGTGGGACTTCCACACCCAAAATACTATTAGTTGAGTATGGTTCTTTGCTGGGTTTGTGGTCAGTGATGTCACGATTGTTATTTTATTGTAGAATTGCATTTGTGTGTGTGTGTGTGTGTGTGTGTGTGTGTGTGTGTGTGTGTGTGTGTGTGTGTGTTTTGTGGTAGACATAAGGAGGTAAACTTTTAGGAGTCCAGTTCTGTCCCTCCACCATGTGGATCTTGGGGATTGAACTCAGGTCATCAGGCGTAGTGTCAAGCACTTTTACTGGCTGGAATCATCTTACTGGCCCCATTGCTGTTAAACTTTCATTTTATTTACTTATTTCTTTGAGATACAGTTTCTCTGTATAGCCCTGACTGTCCTGGAACTCCCTCTGTAAACCAGGCTGGCCTCAAACTCACAGAGATCCACCTGCCTCTGCTTCCCCAAAACTTACTATTTTTTTAAAATTAGTTATTCATTCATTTTATTTGTGTGGGCGTTTTATCTGGGTGTATGTGTGAGCATCATGTGGGCTAGAAGAGGATATTGTATCGAGATTAGAGTTACACAGCTGATTGTGAGCCACCGTGTGGGTGGAACCTGGGATTTCAACTCCTGTATAGTCTGCAGGTAATTTTGTAAAGTTTTTACTTCAGGATAACATGGTTCTAGGTAGTCTACACTGATATATATATCAATCAGAGATCTACCTGCCTCTGCCTCCAGAATATTGTGATTAAAGGCATGTGCCACCACCGCCCAGCTAATTGAAATTATATATTATATATTATAATTGAAATTACAATAATACCGCAGTAAACCTAGGCATTTTACCATTGCTCCTTTTCAGACATGTAGCCTTGGCTGGCTTTGAACTCACTGTGTAGCCCAGGATGATGCAGTGCTTGGATTATGGGATGTATGATACCTATCTGGTTTATGTGGTTCTTGATGAGTCTAGGGCCCCTGAGTATGCCAAACAGTTGCTGCCTGCTGAACTATAACCTTGTTTTTTTTTTTTTTTTTGAGACAGTCTCAAATAACCCAGGCTGACCTTGAACTCTGATCCTTTGGCTTCTAACTCCTAATTGCTAGGATTATGTTAGGTTTCACTCAAATCCATTTTCCATATTGTTGAACACTTAGCTCCATTTTCCTTTGTTACTATAATTTATTTCATACCTTTCTGCTGTGCTTGCTTATTTTTTTAATGACCAGTCATCAAGAATTGATTTTCTAGTTTAATGAAGTTTGACTTTATTTTTACAGTACTTGACATATTGTATTTGCTGTAATTTGTATTTCTGTCCAATATTTTTCCCTTAAATTTTTCTAGTGTCATTTTGTCTCAAGTACAGGATTATTATAAACTTCTGGGCTTCAAACTGAGAACCCTGCTCATGATAGGCAAACATTCTGCTATTAAGTTACGTTCCCAGCTAGCTATAAAGGGCTTTTTTTTTTTTTTGCCAGTACATTTGTTTATTAGCAGTTATTTCTTTCTTCAGGAGCAGTTCTCTTATTTCTACACGTATCTCAATAATCCTTACATAAACTCTTCTTTTGTGTTTTGTTTCATTTATTTTTATTTTTCAATGTGTGTGCATTTTTACCTGCAAGTGTGTCTGTGCACCACGTGGATGCCTGGTGCTCACAGAAGCCGGAAGGTGGCATGGGATCCCTTGCAGCTGGAGTTTCACTGGCTGTTAGGTAACAGTGGATGCTGGTAATTGAACCTGGATCCTCTGAAAGAGCAGCCAGTGTCCTTTACTGCTGAGCCTTCACTCTAGCCCTATCCCACCCCCCCTCCCTGGAGGCTATGGACTCCTCATTTGCATACTGTGTCCTGAGTACTGGTATTACAGATGTGAACTATCATATCCAGCTTCTAATTTCTTTTTTTGTAAACAAATAAGCAAATTTGTTTTGTAAACTAGTCAGTTTCTACTAGGTGTGTGCTATGTTTTAAATCTAGGACAGTAATCTCTGTAGTAAATGGACATAAATTAGTAACATAGATTAGATTTTGTTATATTTAGTTGTATGTGTTTACAAAAGTATGTATGTATGCATATGCATATGCATGTGTGTATGCCAGGGTGTGAGTGTAGAGGTCAGAGGACAACTTTTAGGAGTTGTTTTTCTCTTTTTACATGTGGGTTATGAGGACTGAATTTAAGTTATCAGGCTTGGTGGCAGGGGGTCTTCCCTGATATGCCATCATGCTGGCAGAGATTGATATGTTAGTTTATATAAAAGTTGTATGTCCTGATTGTGGTGGCACACACCTTCAATCTCATCACACAGGCAGAGGCAGGCAGATCTCATCTCGTTGAGTTTCAGGCCAGCCAGGGTTATGTGGTGAGACTTTGTCTTTAAGAAACAAAGATGGGGTTGGGGATTTAGCTCAGTGGTAGAGCACTTGTCTAGCAAGCACAAGGCCCTGGGCTCAGTCCTCAGGAAAAAAAAAAAAGAAACAAAGATGGGCTGGAGATGACTTAGGACTTGCTGCTCTTGTAGAGGACCTGTGTTTGTTAACATCTACATGGAGGCTCACAGCCATCTGGCACTCTGGCTCCAGGGCATCTGATGCACGCACTCTTCTGGCCTCTGTGGACATAAGGATACATATAGGCAAAATAGACATACATGCTTAAAAGGAAATACACACACACACACACACACACACACACACACACACACACACTGGACATTGAAGCATGTGCTTGGAATATACATGGCTGTTACTGACTAAATGAATGTAATAAATACTTGTTTTTTGTTTTGCTTGGTTATTTATGTTTATAAAATAAGATTTATGTATGACTGAAAATACCATGTCTCTGCTGTTGATGACTGAAATGTGGTTGGGCTGGAGTAAGGGCTTAGTGGTAGGGTGCTGCCCTAGTGTGCCTGAGGTCCCAGGTTCAATCCCCAGCACTACCCCAAAAGGGACTCTTATATTTTCATGTTCCCGAAAGAAGGCTGGTATGTTAGAAATTCTATTTAATTTAAAATTTAAATCACTATTATTGTTTTATTGGGACAGGGTCTCCTGTAGCCTAAATTGGTTTCAAACTTCCTTTGTAGCTAGCTAGGATGACCTTGAGCTTCTGAATTGTTAAGTGCTAGAAGAAAAAACTAGGACAATCTGAACTAATAATATGTTTGTAAATAGAATTAATAAGCAAAGAGTATTTTTTTAAAGCCTAATGCCATTTATTGAAGGAGGGAGGAGGTCTTAAATATAGGCTTACAGCACAATGGGAGAACCCCGGAGGGCAGAAGTTTGCTACTGAGATGTTTTACAATCTTGCATCTAAGCTGTTAATGCCCATTATGCAGGATACACAGACAAGGAACTTCCCTTAAGCATTCAGGAGGGTGGAACCCAGCAGGAAATTAGCATAGGGAGGATATCAAGGTCAAGGTCAGCAAGCAGGGCAACAGTTACCCAAAACAGGGGGCCAGGGCCCTATAGGTCCCCCTTTTACTAAAAAATGAGCTTCTGACTGAGGTTGCGTGAGACATCAGCAGGTCACCTTAACCCTCATGGAGATGCCTGCCCAGGCCACACAGGTGCTCTGTCTTAGGTTGATGAGCGCCCCCAGGCATTACCTGTCTCTGAATACTCATTATCATACAGGCTCAATCGTGTGTGAGCTGCAGAGTTAACTGCTGCCAAAGATCTCAGTGTCGCTGGGCTTGCAATCTGTGTGTTTGACACAGAAAAGACCAACAGAAGTCCTAACCCAGCCATAGCCAGTAGGCTAAAGGCAACTGAGCCATTCCCTTCCTTAATGAGCCTTACTGCAAATTGGAGTTCTTGTAAGATGGTATCCCAAAAGCAAATGGAACTTGAGTTTATAAATTTATAATTTATTTTTTAAAAAATATTTTAATTTTATAATTAATTTAATTTTACATATCAGCCACACATTCCTCTGTTCTCCCTTCTCCCGCCCATGCAAAGAGTTTTTGTAAAATCAGTCCTTAGGCCGGGCGGTGGTGGTGCCGCCTTTAATCCAAGCACTGGGGAGGCAGAGCCAAGTGAATCTCTGTGAGTTTGAGGCCAGCCTGGGCTACCAAGTGAGTTCCAGGAAAGGCGCAAAGCTACATAGAGAAACCCTGCCTCCAAAAAAAAAAAAATCAGTCCTTAGGTTAACCTAGTTAACCTAATTATTTGGTGAAAGTGATGTTTATAGGCAGCTCAGAAGATTATACTGGTACGGTGTGTTGATGTGAGCAGTTGAGAGGTTGAGGCAAGAGGACTGTGAGTTCCTGGTGGACTGGTTTGTGTAACTGTTATCTTTCTTAAGAAAAGAAAAAGGGTTAGGGCTGAGGTTGTAGCTCAGTGGTAGAGTGCTTGCCCTGGATGCTGTTCAAAGTGCAAAGGGAAATGTTTTAAATTTTTTTTTTTTATTGTTTGAGACAGGGTCTCTCTACAGAGCCCTGGCTGTCCTGGAACTTACAGAGCTTCGCATGTCTCTTCCTTTCTAGTGCAGGCAATAATGGCATGCGGGGTGGTGGTGCACTGGGGAGGCTGAGGCAGGTGGATCTCCTAGTTGGAGGCCAGTCTGGTCTACAGAGTGAGTTCCAGGACAGCCAGGGGCTACCTTGTCTCAAAAAACAAACAAACAAACAAACAGGCAGAACCTGGAGAGATGGCTCAGCAGTTAGCCCTTTCAGAGGTTCTGAGTTCCATTTCCAGCACCCGCCTGGCTTCTCACAACCATCTGTAATGGGATCTGATGCTCTCTTCTGGCGTGCAGGCATATATGCAGTCAGACTATTCATATATATAATATATTACATATATATTATTACACACACACACACACATATATTACATAAATAATTTTTTTTTTTTTTGATAGGCTTTTTCTGTGTAGCTGTCCTAGAACTCACTCTGTAGCTCAGGCTGGCCTCAGACTCGGAAATCCTCCTGCCTCTGCCTTCCCAGTGCTGGGATTAAAGGTGTGTGTCACCACCTGGCTGATATTCTCTGCCCCCCTCTCCTACCCCCCAGGAAAAAAAACAAAGAAAGGCGTGTGCCACCATGCCTACCATGGGGGATTATTTTTTTTAAACATGGTGACTCAGTTGCCTGCCTGCCTTTCTTCTCCTCCCACACCTTGCCTTTTGGGGTAGGGTCTCTCAAGCATGTATCTTTGGCTGGCCTGGAATTGGCTAGGTAGATCAGGCTGGTATGGAACTGGAGAGATCTACCTGCCTCTGGCTCCCAAGTACTGAGATGAGAGGAATATGGCACCGTGTATGGCCTCTCTTCCATCTGTCCGTTTCTCCTGACTTCCCTTCCTCCTGTCCTCTCTACCTTCCCTCGTTCCTTTCCTCTCCTCCCTACCCCCCAACCCCACTGGCCTCTGCTTCTCACACAAGATGGCATTACAAGTGCCGCCTTGTCCGGTTGATGCAGCGCCAGGGTTTGACCCTCGTACCTTGTTCACGCCAGGCCAGTACTCTGCTGCCTCTCCATCCCTTTACTTGGAGTTTTTTGAGAGAGTGTGTCTCTGTGTAGCCCAGGCTGGCCTCAGATTTTCCACATAAAAGGAACTTGAGCTCCAGGCCCCTGTCCTGCAGTGCTGGGTGTTGGGGTCACACACGTGAGCGGCAGCACCCATCTCTGTGGAGACTGGCTCTGCCCATGCTGTCACCCTTGTGTTTCTGTCTCCCAAATCCTGGGATTACTGGTCACAGGGAACCACTCCCCACTCACTGCTGTTCGTGGGAGGGTTTGGGGGGAAGAACTTTGCTGTTTTGTAACCGGTTGGTTTTGAACTTGATAACATAAACCTGGCTGGTTTGGAGCTAGGATTACAGACATGCCAGTATGTTTAGTTTTTCATATGCCTTTTGAAGCAGTAGTATTGAGATATTTATCCAACTTTGAATATTGAGACAGATTTTTCAGCAAGAATAACTTGCATCAGAGTGATAAATAGGGAGTTATACCTTGTAAATTTATCTGGTTTTCTCAGGTGAGAATTGGTTGTTGAAACATCATAAATATTAATTCAAAAACTTTGACAGGCAAGATAGCTTAGTGAGTAAAGAGGCTTGCCACCAAGCCTGACGACCTGAGTTTGATTCCCCAGGACACTGCCACACAAGTGCCACGCCTCTCACAAAATAAATGTAATAAAAGATTTGAAGAAAAATTAAAGCAGGCTGTCTAAATGAATGCTAATGCCTTTTACCAGTCATCTGTGAGTTCATGTGTGCTGATGTTGCTAATGACATGTCCATTTTTTATTTGTTGTTTTTTTTTTTTTCCGAGACAGGGTTTCTCTGTGGAGCTGTGGTACCTGTCCTGGATCTCGTTCTGTAGACCAGGCTGGCCTCGAACTCACAGAGATCCGCCTGGCTCTGCCTCCCGAGTGCTGGGATTAAAGGCGTGTGCCACCTCCGCCCCGGCTGTTTGTTCTTTTGCTGAAGGATAATACTTAAGAAATTATACATTCTGTAGGCATACAGCTTGAATTTGTTTTTGTTTTTAATTTGTTCTCAGTGTGTTGCTCTGATTACCCTGGAACTGGCTATGTAGACTAGGCTAGCCTCTGCCTCCAGCGTGCTGGGAATTAAAGGTGTATGCCGTCACGATGGGCCGGCTTGAAACTAAACACCTTTGCCATACACACTAAGATCATGAAGCTGACCACTGCTCGTTTCCTAGAAGTCTCCCCGAGGCAAGCAGCACTCCATTTCCTCAGCTTGTGCTTTTGGGTTCAGTAGGTAAAGGCATTTGCTGAGCAGAGCAGACCTGGTCACCTGAGTTCAGTGTCCAGAAGCCACGTGAATGCCGCGCTAGGAGAGAACCGGCTCCAGAGTTGTCTTTTGACCTCCGAGTGCGTGAGGCATCTGCTCCTGCCATGCATACATGCAATAATAATAAATAAAGACTGAACAGGACCCCTTGTGTTTTAGAATTGAGTTCATAACTGGTTTTAAGCAATAAAACAGTTTTAAGTGCTTTTAAACTTTAATTTTGGCTCCTTAGCTTGCCTGCCTCATTTACCATATTTATTACAGATAGCCTTTCACTGTGAGATGAAAACGAAACAGATGCATTTTTAAAGGTGTGTTGAAATCAACGTACATACAGAACCTTTCTAACCTTGGTATTTCTTTTGCCTTACAGACCGCCAAATCCCATTGAGTTTCTAGCATCTTATCTTTTAAAAAATAAGGCACAGTTTGAAGATCGAAATTGATTACTTGGGAAGAAAAGAAACATTTGGTTGCTACTGTAGATTTACATGATTACGAGGCAGCTTTAATTGCCATGATTCCCCTCCCCCCTCTGGAACCTTCAGGACCACAGAACTCTCTTCTGGAGTTGCAGAAGAGAACATATCCCCTTGTCTGATTTAATCACCATACTTATTTAATGAGTATCATCTGTGCAATTTTTTCTCAAATTGTCTTTTACTTTGTTTTTGAAAAGACCTTCAAAATAAACTGTTAAAACACCATTACTGTATAGTATTTATGTTTGTTTCCATGAACTAACTAACTGCTTGTAGTTTTGAATGTGATAGCTTTGTAGTAATCAGGAAACGGCTACCACATTTGCAGGATTTGACTTAATGATCTCTGAAATTGACTTCTGCAGAGGAGCTCTTGTTTTCCATTTTGCAGACAAGAAGACAGACTGGAGAGGTTAAAAGCCTGCTTCAGACAAGTGTTGGGAAGTGCTCAGGTGTGCATTCACCCCAGTTCCACCAGTGTTCTCGTAACCAAACAAGTACTCTGTTCCTTCATCTCTGCAAGATAGGGGGCTGAAGAGGTGACATCTTAGAGCATTTGTTGCTCTTTCAGGGGACCCAGATTTGATCCCCAGCACCCATATAATGGCTCACAACTGTAACTCCAGTTCAGGGGATATGACCCTCTCTTCTGACTAGGCACACATAAGTAAGGTGCATATATATATATGTGTGTGTGTGTGTGTGTGTGTGTGTGTGTGTGTGTGTGTGTGTGTGTATTCAGGAAAAACATTTATACAACATTAAAAAGAAATATGTAGTATTTTTGTTTTGCGTGTATTCTATTGTCCCCTATGAAGAAACTGAGATAGCTCACTGGCTCTGAGAAAGTTGTGTGATGAAAGCTAGGGAACAGGATTCACTAGAACAGTTGTTTTCCAATAGTTGTTAAGTCTGCCCCTTCGGTAATGTATAGACAATGAGTGAGGTGGGATTCTGCTGTCATCAGGATGGAGCCAGCGATATTAAGTATCTAAGAAGGTACAGGACAGTCCATGTGCCCATCATTCCCTCTTCGTCACCTAGTTCAAGCCAATAGTATTAAAGTTGAGAAACCCTGTACTGGAAGCATATTAATCTCGTCTTTAGGTTAAAAGCCTATGCGAAGGTAATGTTTTTTTGTTTTGTTTGTTTTTTCGAGACAGGGTTTCTCTGTGTAGCTTTGGAGCCTGTCCTGGACCTCATTTTGTAGACTAGGCTGGACTCGAACTCACAAAGATTGGCTTGGCTCTGCCTACCAAAGAGTGCTGGGATTAAAGGCGTGCACCACCACCGCCCAGCTGGAAGGTAATGTTAATATGATACCTTTTGTAATTCTCCTTAATGGCCATGCACTGTGGTGCATTCTTTTAATCCCAGCACCGGGAGGCAGAGGCAGAGGCAGGTGGATCTTTATGAATTCAAGGCCTACCAGAGCTACATCACCAATTCATTCATTTCTTTTTTTCCTTTTTGAGATAAGGTCTCTACCTAGCTTTGGCTGTCCTGGAACTCACTATGTAGACCTGATTGACCTCAAACTCGGAGAGATCCTTCTGCCTCTGCCCTGAGTCCTGCCATTAAAGAATTTCATTATGACTAATGTAGAAATAATAGTATAGTTTCCATTTATATCTGCAGATCCAGGGTCTGGAGAGTTGACTCAGCAGTTAAGAGCACTCAGAGGATCTGGGTTTGATTCCCAGCAACCACGTAGGATCTGAAGCTTCTGGACTTTGCAGGCACCCAATCCACATGTGCTACAAAGATTAAAAATAAACTTCCTGGGTTGGGGAGATGGCTCAGTCTGTAAATTGCTTGCGGTGGAAGCATGAAGGTCTGAGTTGAGATACTCCACATCATGTAAAATGACAGTGTCTCCTATAATCCTAACGCCGAGGCCGCAGAGGAGGCTCCTAGGAGCTTGCCTGGACTGTCTAGTCTAAGCAAGTAAACTCTAGTTGGAGTGAGAGACCTTGTCTTAAAGGGGAGCCAGCTGGGTGGAGTGACAAATGCCTTTAATCCCAGCATTGGAAGGTAGAGCAGGCAGATCTCAGAAAGAGATGCAGAACATCCTGGTGCAGAAACAGCCAGGGCTAGAAAGACCCTGTCTCAAAACAAAACAAATACAAGCCTCTTTTTTTTTTTTTTTTTGGACAGGGTTTCTCTGTGTAGCTTTGCGCCTTTCCTGGGACTCACTTGGTAGCCCAGGCTGGCCTCGAACTCACAGAGATCCACCTGCCTCTGCCTCCTGAGTGCTGGGATTAAAGGCATGCGCCACCACCGCCCGGCTCAGTCTTCTAATGATGTACTGTTGCTGTTTCTAGGTTACTACAGCGAAGATCAGAAATACTCTTTTGGAAGCTATCTGCACTAGTGTTGGGTTCTGGGACAGTGTTTCTATTCTGTGCTTCCTATGGACTATTAACTTTCTCATTGCCCTCTACTATAACATTTATAGAATGTCATACCCTAAATCACTAGTGTATATAACTGAAATTGTCGATAACTATGTACTAAAATATAAAAATGAAAATTTTATTTGTAATAAACTTCTGGAGTATGAACTTAGTATTTAAGGGAGGTGGAAGTGAATAGGTTCAACTGACTTTTTTCAAGAGGCTATAAGCTGAGTGTGCTTGTACTTGCAGTACTAGGGAAGTAGAGGCATGTGGGTTCCCAGCAAGTTCAAGGCCAGCCTGGTTCTATGCCTCAGTTCTATGCCAGGCGGGTATATAGGGAGATCTGTATCAAAACAGCAGCTGTGGTGGCACCTGACTTGCCCTTTGTCCCTCCAGAAGCAGAGGCAGGTGGATCTCTGAGGACAACCAGGTTTACACTGGGTGTTCCATCCATGCCAGTCAGGGTTACATAGTGAAACTTGGTCTTAGAAGAGAAAAAGTCTGTTGTAGAATATTATTTTAAGATGTGTTACATTTGTTTGTGCTGTGGAACATTTGTTTAATGATGCAAAGATATGTTGCATTCTTTTAAGTTGCATTTGTTTAACTCTGTGAAGCTGTGTTACTGTGCCTGTCTAAAACACCTGATGTGATGGTCTAATAAAGAGCTGAACGGCCAGTAGTGAGGCAAGAGAGAGGATAGGCGGGGCTGACAGGCAGAGAGAAAGAATAGAAGGAGAAATCTGGGAAGAAGGAAGAAGAAAGAGCAAGAGAGCAAAGAGAAGGGGATGCTAGGGGGCAGCCATCCAGCCAGCCACGGAGTAAGAGTAAAAGTAAGATTACAGAAGAAAAGGAAAAAGCCCAGAGGCAAAAGGTAGATGGGATAATTATAAGAAAAGCTGGTAAGAAACAAGCCAAGCTAAGGTCAGGCATTTATAGTTAAGAATAAGCCTCCGTGTGTGATTTATTTGGGAGCTGGGTGGCAGGCCCCTCAAAAGAGCAAAAACGACCATCAACAAAATTTATACTTGAAAGCATTCTAGAGATCTTTAAAAACATTTAATTACATATTGGTGTGGGGTATGTGCACATAATCATAGGTGTCTGTGGAGGACAGAAGAGGGCATCAGATTACCCTGGAGCAGTCCAATGTGGGTGCTGTGACTCAACTTAGGTCCACTGAACAACAGTACATTTTTAAAAAACTTCTGAGCCATTTCTTCAGCCCAAGAACTTGCATTTTATTCGTCAGTGTGGTCTTTGCTAAATTTAATAAGTGACACAAGCTCTTGGGAGAAAGAAGCAATTTACCTTTTTTTGTCACTGAAATTAACCACAGTGCTTTCCTCATAACACTTGAGAGCTTGGCAAAAAAACCTAACCAAACAAAAAGTATATTGTTATGGCGTTAAGGAACACTGCATTTGGGTATTAGGCAGCTAAACATCTACTTTGGATCTAGTTTTATGTGAAACTAAGATATACCCGTTGTATGATTTGGGCCCCAAATATTTTCTGGGAGATGGGCAACTTATTACACTTTCCAGTTTTGGAATCCTGCACTTCAAAGCCAAAACCACTTCCTTTTTGATTCTACCCAACTTGGAATTCTTTGCTGCCCGACACTTAGTGGAATACTGGGATTGAATAAGGTAAGTGAAGGGTGACATTTGTAGTACGCCTTTTACCATGTCCGGCTCTTCGAACGCATTAACTCATCATAATGCCAGGTACCCCTCCTTGCCGAATGCCACCCCCCCCCCAGCCCCCATTTTACAGAGTCGGAAGTAGCTGAGACAATCTTTGCCACACTGCAGTTACGGCTAAGATACAATTAGTAAATATAACTGTGTCCAAGCCACTATTAGGAGGGAGGGAACGAGCCTGGGAAGCGAAGGCTGCATTCTTACAGCCTCCCCTCCCCGGTACGCTCCGCCGCGCTCCCGGTTTCTACAAATGAAACTTCGCAGCGCGGCCCTGGACTTGCATTCCCGGGGTGGGAATCCACCAAAGGACGCCCCGTGGCGGGCGGGCGGGCAGGCGGGGGGGAACCCCGACCGGACTCCGGCGGGCGGGCAGCGACCGCGTGTGCCTGCTGAGCCGGCGGCGCGCGGGGACCAGCCAGGCGGAGGCCGGGGGTGGGGTGGGGTGGGGAGGGAGGGAGGGAGGGAAGGGGTTCTCCCCGCCTCGCGGCTGCGTCCTGCGCCCCGCGCCCTGCCCCCCCCTCCCCCCCAGCTCTGCTGGCGCTAAACCCCGGAGAGCGGAGCGTGCACGCTGAGCCTCCTCGGAGGGCCCGGCCGCGGCGCTGGGCATGCTCAGTGGGCCGGCCCCGGTAGAGCGGAGAGTAAGGACGCGTGGGCTTCCCGGGTTCTGCCTTTCCCCGGGTTCAGGCCCCGGCCCCGGGCTGTAGGGTGGGGGATGGCGGAGGGGGTGCGGGGGATGATGATGATGATGGTGGTGATGGTGGTGGTGCCACCACCACCGCCGCCGCCGCCACCCGACCCCGGATGGCGCGGGGACCCG